CATCATCATCATCATCATCATCATCATCATCATCATCATCATCATCACCCACCACTCATCATCATCACCCACCACTCATCACTCATCACTCATCACTCATCCTTTGCTGATCATGGGGTCTTGCCCCATGAGATACCCAGCCTTTCTCGGCGCCAGGTTCCCGTCGAGGTGTTTCTACGATGGCACTTTGACCAACGGGCCCGCCACAGCGACACATCGTCCGAAGATCCCCGGGCTGCTTGGCCAGAATGAGGGTGTGGAGAGACCAACGTTGCGTTCGAGCTCAAGATAGGGAGGAGGTCCAGAATGATTCAGAATTAATTTGTTGGAATTGGGATGCTTGTATCATGTGAATCACTATGAAACGCATATCCAATCTCCAGTTAAATTTATAGATATTTAGACACCTCCACAAGAGACTGACTGGCGCTGGTTTCCAACCTGGGCTGGATTTGCCCAGAACGTTCGCAAGGTCGGGGTTCGGGATAGCCAAATGTTGGGAGTGCGAACCCACAGAAAAGCAGGTCTTCGAAGGTCTTTGACATTCCATGGCGGACCACTATTGGCAAGACTCCGGCTTTCCAGATTAACGTTACATGAGCAATCAATCGAGCATCGCCCTTTGGTGATTAAATGGTGTTCAGAAGAACAATTCGCTGTTTTGAAGGCCCTGATAAGATATATTAGGTTCAAAGGCCTCTTGACTAAATTGATCAAAGCGCTGTGGACTTGGGCTTCCAAGGATCTTCCAAGCGTTTTTGGGTTTGTTTGCCAAACAACGGCTCCTTTTGAGAGGCTCCCGGTGTCCCACATGAAGAACACATGTGTCCCAAAAGAGTCCCACGAGACCCTGTGTCCAAGGGCCCCGGGGTCTTTGGCTGAGACCCAGGCGGACAGGGAGGGCAGGCCACTACCCCACCCCCTGTCGTAGGGTCCTGAGGGGATGAGCATAGCGAGAGATCCGTTCCAGCACGACCGGAGAAACCGAGGTTCCCATGGCCGAGCGAAGAGGTTCAGGTGGCCTTCGTGGAATGTGGCGCTTTGAAGGGCCAGGAGCGGAAACCGCGCCTGTGCTGGCCAACGGCAGGTGCAGGTGAGCTGGTACCCTTTCAGCAAGGGTACACCTGATAAAGGTGGGGTGATTGGTGAGTTTCCTCCAACGTGCTGAACCCCTTCTGAGGCGCCTTTTGTTGGAGGTTACTCAGCAAGTTCAAGGCAAGTCGCCCAAATGCAGCCCCAAAAAATATCATTATTGGACTTTGGGAGGCTCGGGAGGCTGCCCAGCTAAGCCCGTCATCGGCCTCCGTGGATGGGACACGGATTCCAAGAGAAACCAAAAACATGGAGAAACCCACAGGGTTTGGGGACCTACGGATGAATGTTAGCGCTGTTTTCGGATGATGTGTGGTCCAACATGTGCTTTTGGACCCAAAACACTCGTCGATACGGAAAGCATATGCAACAAATGCTGGGGATCGAAACCAATAAACAGATATACTGCATGTAGCAGACAAGTTGTTCATAGAGGAGCAACGCTGGTCCCTCAAGCAATATAGTTTCCGTCACTGTTTTGAATTTGCGTCCACGCTGCAGGGTATCACTCTTGAATGGCCATCCTTCTACGGTGATCTACGGGTGCCAAGTCCAAAATTGCTCAGCCAAGATCCGAGCAAGAGTGCTAATGTCATTGAAAAGCAACAACTGCTCCTTCAGCAAGGTGCTAGAATAAGAAGCTTCTGGTTTTCCTCCAGTTTTGTTTCGCCTGTCCCGGATGGGCGGAAAGAGATCAAAAGAGATCAAACGAGCAGCCTGTCCCTTCTGTGAGTCCAAAGGTTGTTGCAAGACATCAATCTCGCTTGGAAAGCTCTGGTTTGGTTCACACGCAGGTTACACACCGGTTTCTGCTTGCATGTCGGGTCTCAGCTCATCCCCTGAATAGGAACTCTTAATTAAGTTATACAGTTTGTATACAGCTTGTATACTGTCCCATTTCAAGGCCAGATTTCTGAGGTCTCCGCGCCACTTTCGGCATGTTTTCGAACTCACCGAACTTCTCGTGATGGCGCACTGGCACCACCTACGAGACCCGAAGGTTCGGTATATACACGAGGTGACGTTTGGAATGCCTAAGTTCAGGGTCCACCCTTTGAGTCCCTAAACCCACCCGGATCGTCGTCTCTCCGAACAGACGTAGCTGTTCGTGCTTCCCCCGGGATGTCCAGTTCGACTGGTCGCTTCGCTTGTTGAAGTCTAGCGAAGTCTAGCGGCTAGGGGACCCGGGTTCATCCATGTGCATCAGGTCCCCCTCTTTTTTGGGAGAGACCATTCTGATTGGTGCGACCCGTAGGGAATGAGGGAATGAGGGTGGCTGAGCCCCAATAGAGATTCCTTTGGGTCCAGCCACCCTCATTCCCTACGAGTCGCACCACTCAGTTTTAGAGACCAAAAGACTCTGACAGCGGAGCCTCCGCCCCTCTCAGCTCCATGTACCGTCCAGGAGGGTGGTCGTAGCCATGAGAATCCCGAGGAGGTCGGAACACCGGTCGTCCGCCCCGTCCGACTGGGGAGCCGATCTGGAACGGGGACATCCAGTTCGGGAGGTGGAACATGACGTGGACGGAGCGAAAGTGGATCCTGAAGGAAGAAGGAGATGGAGTTTCTCTTATCCCAAACGCGTCAGGAACTGGCATGGGACTGGCAGGTGTTTGCCTACATTCAAGAACAACATGGAAGTGGAACGTGAGGATCCTATAGGCTTATAGGCTTTCGGGGCCGTGCCGCAAGGGGCCGTGAACTCCCCAGCCTATTGGTGCTTGCTTGTGGGGAGTTCTTTGCGTTCTTTTTGTGAAGATTCTTTGCATGAAAACACCATGAGATGCAACAAGTCTTTTGCGCGCGACACCTCGACAGAAATCCACCTGGCTCGACATCGCACCACAGACTGGAGCTGATACTCGTTCCGCACCGGACCCAGAAGTTTGTTGCCCCACTCGACAGGCGGAAGCGCTGATCATGGTCTTGGAGCATTGTTTGCGGCAAGGGCTCAAGCCATCCCAGGACAGACCGCAGGGAGACGTGCAGAGCATTTGTTGGGGGGGGTGCTTGTGAGTGCTCGGAGACTTGGCGCATGTGATCATGAGCAAGAGACCTAATCCATGTTGGAATCAGTTCTCGTATGCATTGTGTATCACCTTGTCCTTCTCACTCACTGCTCTCACAACTGTTGTGTTTATAGTTGTGTTTATACGTCAGACGCACAACATCGCACAACTATGCACGGGCGCGGTTCTCTCCGCACTTCAAGGGGACACCATGAGGACTACTAGGATTTCAGAACTAGCTTAGCTTGAACATGCTTGAACGAGTGGTGATTCACATGGAGCTTCGCCAAAATCTTTGGGAATTGGCATCGAGCCCAAGTCCTGGGGTTGTAGCATGTGTGCACTCAAAATCACTCAAAGATGGAAGACGGTTTGGTAGGTTTTTCGCGAATTTCCATGGCTTAGAAAACACCCGGTGGATTGAGCAACCAGATGCAACAAGTAGTTTAAGCATTTTTGACTCAGTCTATAGTTACACAAAATACCGACAACATATCATAATATATTATGACGGATGAATGTACGGCGATATTCTCGCGGAATTTGGCAAGTGTTGAAACTCCAAATTTGCACACGTTGCCTTAGATCCGCATGGATCTTAAATCATAAAACGATGAATGTGATGAACTGAGTACACCCGGGAAGAGACCCACATGCAAACCTCAAAATACACGACTGATTTTCCTCTACAATCCCAGTGGTTTTCAGATTACATGTTGAGCTTCCAAATGTTTGACCCGGTTCACCAGTGCCGACCCACCAACTTCTTGGTGGAGTCGCTCAGATCTGAGTCACTCACCGGGGTCGGATCCGCAATGGATGGATGTACTTTGTTCGCACGCGTAGATGGGCCTGATCATCCGACAGTGACACGTAGTGTTTTTCTTTCCCAACACACACTTTCCGTGTGTTTTCTTTTTCCCTCTAATCGACGACGGCATCATCACCGGCATCACCACGCAGAGGTGGGCATCATCACCGGCTATTCCGCGCAGCAGGCGGAGTGGGATCACGGATGACGAGTGGGTCACTGGTCACTGGTCATCCACATCAAGGACGTTTGCCAAGAATGCCAAGAAACAGGTCGGTGTTTTAGGTCACTTTTGCGTCCAGAATCAGTGATAGCAGTGACCGCTGTGATTTTTCGCACTGTTTTGTTCCACGAATCGGAAGTGGCAAGATGTTGCAAGCAGGGGAGAGGTGTCGCACCTGAATCAAGAGCGTGTAAGGTGTGGCAACAAAAAGAAACATCATTGCAATATATTGCAATGCACATGTTTGATTGTTTTTTGTCCGACGGATAGTGGGCAGACATGTGTTAACTTGTGAGCAGACTGCCCTGCTTGGGAAGCCGAGTGTGTCAGCCGCCCTGTCCGGTCCTGGAACCACTGGAAGCCGGGAAACCGGGTCAGAGGAGTTGCTGCGGCGCTTGTGGTCCCAGCTGGCGCCACGGCTGAATCTTCAAGCCAAGGAGCTTCGTGTCGGGGAGCCCGCTTGAGCTGCGTAGGGAGGAGCACGGTGCTAAGGTGACAGACCTGGAGGGACAGATGCTTGGTATATTGATGTATATTGCTTTGTGATGGTTTTCTGTTTGGGTCCAAAGTCATGTTTTGTATTTGCATCATGATTTGATATAGCTATCTTAAACTTGTGTGTTCCTAAAGGAGCTTCGTTTTTGTTGTCCTAAAACATATATGACTCCGGAAGGAGGGAATAGACCTCACAAGATCCAGACACCCATTGGGACCCCATTCCTGGGGGTTTCTTGCTGCGCATGGTATGTTTAGCCCCACCTGTCAGGTGAGGGTTGTTAGATTCTATGTCAGCTGCCTTGCTACTCTCCTCCTCTCCTCCTCCTCCTCGTCCTGCTGGTCCTCTGCCTCCTCAACCGCGAGTGTCGGATGGCAGTGTTCCCCGCCGGACCTCAACCGCAAGCAGTGTTCCCTGCCGTACCCCAGCTAACTGCAAGTGTAGGATGGCAGCTTTCCCCGCCGGACCTCAACCGCCAGCTCCGGATAAAATCGTCTCCAGAAGGGCTGCCAGGTGTTCGTTGATTCATGTTGATTCAGAGCTTGAGGAATATCACAGTCGTTGCGTGATCCCTGTAATTATTCACGATACTTACTTAGTATAACTTAATAGTCTGTTAACTTAATTAATTAGATATATTTTTGTAATTTTAAATGAATGGTTGCCCGCGGATCCCCAGCGTTTCCCGCCGCGGCCATATCTGACGGTCTCTCGCCATCGCAGTCGACGAGTGAAGCTCTCGCCTCTCAGGTGGACACGGTGGATGGCTTTCAGGCCGCACCCGACGCGTGGATCGGCGAAGAAGCACTGCAAGTGCGAGACCCGGGGCAGATGAGGATCTGGTCCTTTCACCTGCTTTCCGAGGTGAAGTGAAGTTCCGCGGACTAAAAAGATGGCACCATTTCTACCGGACACTGCACTCTTGCTGTCAACCCATCAGATGGGGGACGTACTGCGATGTTTCCCGAGCCTTCGCGCGCCCGCGCGGGCGGCTTTACGACCCGCAGCCAGGGCGCAGAGCGAGACTTGATCCTGGCCTCCACAGCCGGGGCGTCGAAGAGAGCGGTGCGATGAAAGCGCGAGAACGGAGCGTTCTATGATCAATTAATATCAATTATACCCTAGCCTTCCAAGACCATTTAAAAAATGGTTGAACTGGCTCTTGGTGTGTGAAGTCCTTAGCTGGTTCGGTAAAGCCTATTGAATGAATGGTTGTTGGAAGCCTAGGGTATATATATATATATGTTCTATTCCATGTCGATCTTGCGGGCACAAAACGATGTATGATGTCATATGATGTTGCATATGCATGTATTATATACATCATTTTTGTGATGTCATTTGTGTGTTTAGCTATAGGGTAACCCCCCGTATTGTCCCCTTTTTGCTCACCACCATGCTTTCCACATCAGGGCGAACCAAGTCGCATTAACATCACTCAGGAAAGATCGCTATTCCATAGCGAATCGCTGTCGTGAAATACATATACGCAGACCCCAAACAAACCCGTGGAAGAACCATCCAAATCCCGTTGGGATTGATTCCTCTTTGTCTCTTTGTGCCGTCTCATTGATGGCGTTTGGATCGTTGTACTTCTGCCCCTTTCTGCATCGACCGTCTGAACGGCCGGAAAGGGCGGCGGGAACGGCCTTCCAGCAGATGGTCCCAGCTTGGAAGGATGGTCTATGGCCCTGGCCAGATCAAGAAGTAGGGGTTCACACGGTCCACGCTTCCAGTCACATGGTTTGTGCTCACCCGCTCATAAAAAGGGATGACGGAAAGCGCACGTTGGGGATCTTGCGTGAAGCGTGCCAAGATTGACTGATCATAATATATATAGAGAGAGAGAGACAGTATATTATATATAAATCCAGCTTGAGGGACCTCACTCCTCACGCAAAAGTCCTTCCCAGGTGCCGCCCCCACGAAGTCACACCTCCCAGTCCTCCCAGCGTTCGGCTTCAGCTCGGCCGCGCGGACACTCGCCGAACGAAGCCGACATGGAGTTGTTGCCCCAAACGGAGATGAAACGCGCCCCACCCAGGTGCGCTCCTTCTTCGAGGCGACTTGGGGGTGACCGGCGGGTTTGGGCACGGGTTGACCTAGAAGGTGCCGCTGGTTGAGTGCACGCTGGTGAAGCCGCGGGACCATGGTGCAAGACGGCATGAAGATGAAGAAATGGGTGGAACAAATTGAACGAGTCACACTAGTAGGGTCAGGCAAAAAACCATATGAAGCACACTTCTGTGACATACATGGTGACATCCATCATACATAGACCTCATATGATCACAGAGACCTCCGGGACTCCGCATCGCCCAGGTTGGTTTCATGAGAGATCCCCGTCGCGTCAACGTGATGCTCACGCGTGCCATGGCCAATGAGTCCGATTCCCTCCCGGTCGTGATCGACGAATCGGAACGACCCCGCAAGGGGGAACGGTTGGTTGGTAGGCTTGCCTTGGTTTTGCAATGGTTTCTCGGGGGTTTCATTCCGGATTCGGGAGGAAACCCGTGATACATCGGTGCTTGGAATATGTTGGAATCCGGCATCAAAATGGATTGGTTTGGTGTTGGGATTGGAATCCCCTGGATTGCTGGCCTAATGGATTGGACATTTCATGAAATTTCCCTGTTTGTTGGTCCATCGCATGCCCCGCCTGAGAGAGAATGTGGAAACATGGCTCCGTGGACTTCTTGTAGTGACAGGTTTGAGCGCAGCAAGCAGCGCAAGGTCAACCAGCTTCTCCAACCTGAGCTTTCATTTTTGGGTAAGAGAGTGACGCTGCAAAGAAATTTGATTGATGAGATAGAAGATGATGAAGAGGAACATATCTTGACAATGCCAGATTCTGATGCCAACCAATTTCTCAAGAGCCTGTTCATGCCTGTTCAATGGTTCTCAGCAAAAAGAGTTGTTGTTTTCTTTATACGTTACCCTGCAAGTAGAAGCGGAGACGTCCTGACTGTTCCCGTTCTGCTTAACACAGTAACACTTCCCATTGACTTACCGTACTGCTTCAATCAACATGCAAACAAACATTGAATCGAGGCCAAAGCCATAGTCATCGCATAGCAATGCATACTGGATCTTCGAAACGGCACAAATACTGTATCATTGTAAGCTTACATATTTAGTACTCAAGAAAACATGCTTCTACGGTGTTTTTTTTGTTTTCCTGGAAGACGGTGAACCGGCGTCTTGAGGCGGTGGACCCCTCCGTCTTTCCCCGTCGGGTGTGCGAGCACATGTCATGCGGCAAAAGGTGGCGGCACCCGAAGACACTTCGAATGAGAGGTGGAGAGATCGGAGGTGTCCACCTTTCCAAAAGCACCTTTCGCTTCGGTTTTTTCCGGAGATGTTCCCAATGATCCGTCACTCCTTCCGTGCCTTCCACCCGACCGGACCAAGCCCGGGATCCACGATGGGCTTTGGAGACGTCGGTCCGTGGCGAGATCGCCAGGTGCCCGGCGTGGGCTCATTGTCTTCGGGAACGCCCCGACGCTCCACACCGAGGCGCTCCGCGGTGACGGCCGGGTCGGGGGCGGTTCGTCGATGGCGTCGAGGGTCCCCAAAGACGAGGGAGTGACTCAGGAGCGTCTCGAAGGCTTTCAGAATGAGATCGGAAGAGCTTAGGGTGTGTCCCAAGTAAGAGTTGGTACTGGTATAGAAGATGTAATATTATATAATTACACTATATCTTTGAGATGTCGGCCTTTAGTAATCATCATCATCATCCACGGTTGCTGGTAATGGGATGTACCACAAGCTTTCCAAGAGGATGCAAGATGTTGGGTGTGTTGGCTGACCCCTGCTTCAGCAGAACTTTAGGTCAGCGATCCACAATGAGTCAGCCGGACGGTGAAAATCCTAGCTGGATTCTGATGGGTTCCTCCGTAGCTTACTGTGCACTCCACCCTTAGCTTATTTACTCTCTAAATTCCCATCGAAACTTCCAACATCACTGGGAATGAGCAAGCGCAGCGCTGCAGCACCCAGAAATAGTTATATTTATATCCCTTTTCATATAGGTCCTCCATCCCACAGACATGTCTTGAAATGGCGGTCATTCGTCAGTGCTCCGATAATTTCACATCAGTGGTTCCGATATCCTCCCTGAGTTCAACTGACTCATGATCATTCCTGCATGCTAAAACGACTCAAGACATCGTAAGGTTCGATTTTTTGTTTTAGGCCGGCGATGTCGCCAGCCCCTTGAAACTACTTGCTGTGAATTGTGATGCAGCAAGTAGATACCCCCCCGCAAGGCTTTTGCCTTAATTTCCAAATGGTGATTTGTAATGATGTATATGGCCTTTGCCAAAGATGGTCTTTGGCGAGGAATTCTGGGTGGCTGTATATTGAATTTGTTCATGGCATTGCAAGTCTCTCCTTTGAGGATTCCGCCCTCACAAATATGTGCATCAACTCTATGTGTCTGTTGAGTTGCTTTGGGTCTGAGTCTGGATCGATCCAGAATTGCAATGGCAGGCCTGCACATGCCATGAAACCGCTGCGTGCAGATCGACTCACAGTTGGGCTCGACGCCCGTATTCACCATCTTTCATCTTTCCTTCACTTGCACCCCCAAGGCCACCTCTATGGAAACCATTGGACACCGGGTTCCAAGTTCTCATTTTACATCCCTTTACACACCTCATTTGGCCAGTTGCCAAACACAAGCCATCCGGCTAAGTGTTTCGCACTCCGCTGGGCAATCCAGCAGATAGCATCGGATCTGTCGCACCGAAAATCAGATGAATACGTGGAAGCCTTGGATCGAGTGGATGGAGACCAGGACGGCGGCATCTCGGATCCCCCGGACGAAAACACGGTTCGTTCACGGTTCAAGGCCATGGGAAAGGCCAACCGTCGCGTTGGCGTCGTTCTGCTTTTTTGATGAGTGATATGTTGTAAGCAGTCCAAAACACACATATCAAGACATCAAAGACTTGCACGGCTATACACCAAGGTCCCATAAACATCCATGATCCCAGTATCTAGAGTCTAGGCCTGTCTATAGATACTGGACCCACCCAACCGCTTTGTTCATTGATGTCAACTTTACCCACCCAACCGCTTTGTTCATTGATGTCAACTTTGGATTTGTTTTGCAATGATGGCAACAAGAAGTCCCATATTTTCGGGGCATGCACGGCTAGGCTATGCTAGGCTGCATAACCCTGGAAGAGTGGATCCTGTAAGATGATGTAGGATGTAAGTTATATCAGCTTCGTTTGATTGAGAAGGCAAAATCCAGAAATACATTGTCAATAATCATCAGGTTGATTCAATTTGTATTATACATCATAGGATATACATAGGTCAAATCGACGTGAAACCCATGTATATACGACACAGGTCGTTATCTGAAGTACGGCAGCAAAGAAGACACCCTATATATAATATATGGATCCACTGCCACTCGCTCAGAGGGTGATGTGTGGCTTTAGCCAGGGTCCAGTCGTACCTTTTCCTGAGAAGGCGGCAGTGGATCCCCAAACAAGGAAGCAAGAACCATGCCAAAAAGCACTGCACCCCAGCCCACCAGCTCAGCCGCAGCTCGTTTTTTTCGGTTCGCTCGGCCAGGAGGGTCGGTGTGCCGCTGGAGACCCTGAAGGAGCAGCTGGACGAGCAGCTGAGACATCAGGTCCGGAACTCTGCTCTGAACCGCTTGAAGCCACTATCCATGACAAGCTCTTGGGATATTTTTGTTGATCTCTATGTCCCGGACTGTTGGATAAGTGTATCCCCGGGCTGTTGGATCGGCTTGTAGAGGGGTGTTTTCGACGATGTTTTCGGGGGCGTCCTTCTAAGATAATTGGATATGACTTGTACAGTTTCTTCTAGAAAAACAGACAATGCCATGGGGATCTTCTGGCCTGGATCTTCCGTGAGCCACGTCATGCGTGAGCAACACGTGAGCAACTGTGTGAGCACGCTGTCCAGGACCAGTGGGAGACTTACGTGAGCTCCCCAGAGGGGATTTCATGGCCACAGACGGGCACGGACCACTTTTGCTGTGGCTCAAATTGTCACTAAGTGATACTAAGTGATACTAAGTGGATAATTACTGGTTTGTTTGCAGACTGTCATTCAGAGAGGTCCCTTGCGAAAGAGATCCCGGTGGTTAATCTATGTTGGGATATCTATTAATATATATATATATATTATATATTGTAATATATTGCCTTTGACCATGGGCAGAACCGTCCGGTGAGGAGGCCTCCAGCTTTGAGTGTACCGAGGTCGATCCAGACTCGGACAGGAAATGGCAGTACAATAAGGCGCAGTGGGCCGTTAGATCAGGACTGCTGTGCCGAGGCACTGCCGCATGTTCATCTTTTTAGACCCAGTCCAAGGCGGAAGGACGTCGCGTCCTTCTTTCCACACTGGGACTGTATGTCCCCAGACCATCCATGGGACTGGCTTATTGACCAACATTGGGGTGGTTGACCTGGGGTCATATCTTATCATCAATTCATTATATATATATATACCTAGCGCTTCCAAGGGGTGCCCAATGGAGACCTGTAAGTAGTGTGGAGATATCCATTGGTGACCCCGAACGGAAGCAGCTGGATACTATATCATTGATATTTAGAGATGGAAAGGGCAACCAGGCCCCATCCACTCCCCAGCTGGTATATATATACTACAATATTCATTCGTGTATTCCATTCATGTATGGATGGTCTGGGACCTGGGCTGGTTTCCGCTGGCTGGTGCCCGAGTTCGGACTGCCATGGAAAAAGCATCACTGGCAGTGACACAGAAATCGTTTTAATGGTCTGAGTTGAGATGTACGCGCGTGTACACAGGGCCTTAAAACATGTTTATGGTATGTTTAAACACGCAGGTACACCGAACACGCAGTGGTGCTATGTATATAGACTATGTATAGATATCATTATTTGGAACCATGGATGAGTTGCATACGTCTTTTTGCAAATAAGTAAATCCACAACCGGTGGAGTTGTGGGCACTGTGGCAGAACCGGTCATGGATACAGCTCGGTACACAGCTCGGTCTCTCCAGCCTCAGGTCGCTCTTCAAAGCATTTGTTTGTTTGGTCGCAGCAGTTGCACGGACCGCGCACCAAGGTCAGACCCTGAAAACGCATCTGGGAAGAGAAAGGACACTCGCCAAGCCAAATGCGTTATTATAGTCCTGAAACAAAAAACATGCATTTATAAGATTTATGGAATTGACTGAAGGAGCCTGGTGTTGATGTCCAGGTTGCACATCAATGCGAGCCACAAGGTAAGAAGATGTACTTTAAACCATTGCGTCCAGGCATTGAGAGCCATATGGCAGCCACGCATTTTGCTGTTTCATGTGGCATGGCAGATGCATATGCGTTTACCAGCATCCCACAACTGCATAAAGATGCTGACACCAACAGCAAGAAAACACAATTAACAGGCAGCGCCCCAAACGCACCCAAACGCGGCGGACACGCAGACACGGAAAACAATTAGTTCGTTCATTGCTTTGGGGCCGGTGGGTTTTTTAGATGTGTTGTGTTGTGCATGGGCCCACATCGGCCTCATCACCGGATGGTTGGTCACGCATCTGTCGCCACAACGATCAGTTTGTCATCCAGTGAACCACTGGTTTCGGCCTCGCACATGACTGCGACAGATGCGTATGGTTCTTTGGTCATGGACCACATTGGACCACCATTGGGCCATGGGCCATCTCACTTCGATGCTTTGTTCTGGCTTGGCTTTGCTCACGGACAGGAAAACGTCATGAGTCAGCTTGAAGGAGATGTAGAGTGATCAGAGCTGCGACTTCCGACCTTGTTCAGACCAGGAGGACCTGTGACCCCTACACTCCCTGGAACTAACATGAGTATGTGGAAAATGGCCCCCTTGGAGACCATTTCCCTCTACAAACCTGGGGTGAACTCCACTGCCATGTTAGTTCCAAGGAGACTACAAAAACCATACAAAACCCCCAGTGCTTTTGTGGCACCAGGCTGGATTGCTTCTCTCCGCATCGGTCGCTTGTGGCACACGACAGGTCACTGAAGATTGCAGGTGGATCGACTGAGACGACTAGGGCCGACGCATGAGACGACTCGGCACGACTCGGGCCGCAGCACGGCTCCCGCCGTTTCCGGGCTCGGTCCGATCTGGGCGAGCGGACCGGTGGTGACCGGTGACCGCGGCGGCGGGGGGAGCTGTCTTGGTGGAGTCAGGTGGAGCTTCGACCTGTTCCTGGAAGACTCGGCTCCAAGCCGTGAATTTCACGGCCATCATGCGGCCGTGCACACGACGCAAGCGAGTGCAACCTTGGGGAAGGTTGCAACGGGCCTGGTGGAACCATCCCACCAACTTGACTTGTGGCGGAAGGACGTGGGACAAAGCAAATTACTTGATTTAATTTATTATGTTTTGTGTGTGTTTTTTGTTTGTTTGTTTTGTTTTTACATGATACAAGCTTTCTGGGAGGAATCGTACTCACAAAGTTGTGTTTCTTGAAACAAGTTCCCCTTGTGGTTTGTGGTGAAACAATGGGCAAGTCCGGTCACCAATGGTTCGTTGCCACGAGCCTCATAGAGTCCCATTTGGTCAAGTTTGAAAGGACACTCATTGACTCAGTGACTTAGTGACTGAGTGGGTCTTGTGAAACAAGCACGGCTGGCCCGCATATCCACATCCCTGCCCGACCAGAGCTTGAAATGGTACGTACGTATCGATCGCTGAGGATAGGGACTCCGATGTGGTTGAACATGGTTAAGTGTCATTTCAGAATATTTAAGGTGTCAACCGCAATCGAGAGTCGCTGAGACCATGTCGAGAGTCACCCTTCTCGTCTTCGCCCAAGTCTGAGCAGTGCGGCACCCAAGAAGATGCCCGCTGTAGAGCCAAAGCCTATATAAGAATCATGGCACCTGCAGTGAAAAAGGACTGTCGGAGTGCGAAGATGGAGCATACTAGAAGAAACTCATGTTTACTAACACCGCTTCGCGGTGGAAGCCGCCCGCACAGATTAAGTGGTAAATGTATCAGTAGCACCCCACGAGGATACGGGTTGGTTATTGGTGTGGGAAGCAGCAACTTGTGCTGTCGGAGCCGGTCTGTCTCGGTCTGTCAGTCTGTCTACACACGGACGAAAACACGCATGATTCATGATGTCAATAGTCTGTCTCGGTCTGTCTGACTCCGTCTGTCTGTCTCGGTCGGTCTGTCTCGGTATGTCTGTATCGGTTTGTCAGTCTGTCTGTCTCGGTCGGGCAGGACACACGGACGTATGGTTGACCGATTGGCCCTTGTTTGGCCCTTGAAACATTCACAATTACTTAGACGCCCTTGATGTTTTACTCGCTTTCTTTGACAGCATAAAGATGACTCATTCCTTCTCAAATATGCTCATACCACTGGGCAGATGTGACAATGAATGAGGTGCCCATCAGCCATATATCATATACTCAGACATGCGAACACGTTTTTCTCCACTAAACGTATCCGGTTTCCCACCCCAGAAGCTCAAGGCCGGGAACACCCTACCCCGATTCCTTCGCAGCACTTGCACCAAGAAATATGGGGAACACATGCAATATCGCGCAATGCTGGAGCATCGCTTGACGACGAGGTGAAGGTAATCACGTGGTAATCACTTGGAGAACTGTTTCGAGTGGTGACCTGGGAGGGAGGCAGAAAGGGGCACAAGATGGCACACGGTTTGCAAAATCAATCACAGTTCATCACATTTCTCCAATCGCAATCCCTTGCAGGGTTGGAATTTGTGTACACCAAACGATTCAATCATATTCAATCAGGTGTTGAATCAAATCGACCACCTCTTCATTGGGGAGATGTGTTTTTTGTTTGGGATGGGCCTATCGACGGGAGCTCACGAAGACTCCAAATCTGAGAGGATTTGTTCAAGGCTCCAGTCTTCACCCTGGTCATATGGTCATATTGGGCGAGGAGAGAGAGGCAGTCCATGGCACCCGACTTCACAGGTCACCACCTGCCACTTTTAAGTCTCCCTTTCAGCCACCAGAGGAGACCTGTTGTTGGAGGGTGCTGGAGAATATGATTGCATGTTTCCTTGGGTTTCTTGTTGTTCGTGTATGAAATGGTGTGAACATCCAGATAAAAACATCTATCGGGCTCGGGAGAACCCGAAGGTCGGGGCGTAGAAGTTCTTCGGTTTCAAGGCCCAGACACCGAGCGGTTCCAAGCTGGTACTGATTGGTCCAAAAGTGAATCTGCCAAGATCCGATAAGTGCACTGACTGATCAGGACTATTCATGACTGGATGACGGTGGATGACTAGGCCTGCTCTTTGAGCCTTAGAATGAATCACATGACGGTGGGTTGAAGAAGGAGTTGAACCCTGGCAGCCCTTTTCATAGAGGATCAAGGTGAATCAAGGTTGTCATTCACGGTTGTAGCTTTCTCGCAGACTGCATCGCACATCGCAACCCCACGGAAAGATCTAAACAAAGCAACTCTTTTTGACGACTGTGGCCTTGACACGTCCAAGACTAGTACTAGTTGATACTATAGTTGGGCATTTGTTTGGTGTCTTCACAAGGCAACTTTTTGCAACAGAACAAGACCTGACATTTTTCGTGGAGAGAGTGTCGTTGCCACTGCACATTTTGCCACGAGAACTCCAAAATATAGAAGGTGCTGTTCCATGCCTTTGTCAGCTGGTTGCACATGAGTCAAGCCATGCCACGGCCACGGCCATGTGCCACGGGCAAGAGAATTAGTAGGGCATTGCCAGGCATAGTGACTCAGTGACAGACGACGCCAAGCAATCTATGACCAACAAGGCTTCCAGGAGTCAGATCTCCACATCATTCAGGTCTTCATTTGATTCGCTTTGCTTTATTTTCTTGCAGCCAACAAGCGTTGGTCCCAATGTCTACCATATCCATCCACACACCATGCATTGGGGGCACCATCATAGCTGGACCTTACGTCGGTCGCCTCGTCGGTGAAACAGCGCTGGTCCCTTCGGTGCGACCCCTTCCGAGGTGGTGTCGACACGGGCACGTTTCGGGTGTCATCATGAAGGTTTGACATGTCCACACCAAGGTTGCTAGAAGCTGGGCAGGCCAGTTAAAGCAGCTAGGCTGCTTTGATGTCCATCAACCCCAAATGTATCAACATGCAAAAAAGAAACTAAAACAAGAAACATGAACAACATATGGTAGAGCTCAAACAGATCAGTTTGCATGCCCTCCGAATCCTCGATGTTTCAGAAAGCACTCTATCGAAGAGGAATGCGGGAGTCCGTGTTGAAGTCGTGACATGTTCTTCATTTTCATATGAAAACTCCATTAATTCACTTGATTGAGAGACTAAACACCACCCGACACGTAACTAGTATGTGATTTGGCCCTCGAGTGAAACAGGATGGGATTTCCTGTATTTGTTTATCTGTATCATCCGTGAAGATGCTGGGATCCAACGAATTCGGTGGAACGTGGACCCTTTGGTAGAGAAACAAACCAACACATGTCCGGAACATGTTGGATGGTGAGGTGAGGAACCTGTTTGATCCTTTGGTGAGGTTGGTAAACGGACCCCTTTGGTCTTTTGAAGTCTTGAGGTCGAAGCTCCATGTTTGTCGATCCACGCATACGACCCAACGGAAGACGTTGCCCGGCTTAGACTCACTGACCCCAATTAGCAAGAGAAGCATCTTGTATCATCTTGTCCTGAATGGAACAGTATCTTAATGCTTTTTCTATATCCATTCAGAACCAGGTCAAGTCAAGGACTCTTCACGGGGTCCGACTTGATCGAACAGGACCAAGCCGCTGTCGACTCTCTAGCCGAGGATAGTAGCGCCCATGAGCGGCCATGGTGGCTCAACCCTCAGGTGGGACGTGTACCGCAGATGTGGGGGTGCTTGGGATGATGTGTGGAACCACACCATGGTAGGTGGACATTTCGATGGGTGGGCGTTTTTAAAACATATTTGTCTTGGGCTGATGGCATGCCTCCATGAATCTCACCTTCATTCCAATGGGTCGCACGTGTCCAGCGCGAAGACCACCACGATGGCTGCGCGAAGGTCGAACGTCCCGATTCGGGGCTGGAACGCCTAGGGCGTTCCGTCTTCACCACGAATCACCTCGGAACCGATCTCGGGGCATCCAGATCCGGAGAGACCAAAGTGGTTGGCACATATAAGCCGCTCAATCAAAGCGGAGGTGTTGAAGGTGAGCAGGGGACCCTGGAGTTTGACTACCAATTAAGGGAAGACCAGCGACTCGACTCGTAGCGGTCTGGACGATGCCTCGGCCCCCCTGCCAGCCTCGGACCATGCGCTCACTGGCAGCTGAAGTCCTTCCTGACTTGGAGGAGCAAGACGGCAAGACCCGACCTTGGGGAAGGTGGGCCCAGCACGACCTTCTGGAAGGCCCAGCATCTGTTGAGGCTATGCAGTCCCAGCATGGACAAGCTCATTGCCTTACTCAGGGCCCCTCAGATGCATGGACAAGCTTGGTTTATAATATCATGGTTCACTCTTGACTCTTGCTGGAATTAACATGAAAGTGGAACCCCCCTTTTTGTAGAGCAACATGGTTTTCCAAGCACCTATTGCCATGTTAGTTTCAGGGAGTTTATCATAATCTGCAGAAAGATTCAGCACGACCGAGGTGGTCACCGACATCGTGTCGGCCGTGCCCATGCTTGCAGGTGTTCCGCACATGATGACACTGCGGGTTTTCGTGGGATTTTGCCAATCCTTCCAATCAATATTGAAGACAAAGTTTGATCGGTCCTGCTGTCTATTTGAGATGGGGGCACTCCGGGAAGTCAAGTCCGGACAAACCGAAGACTTCACGTGGCATTGGTGGCATTGGAGATGTTTTTGAGCCTCCCACGCCGGAAGTCCTTCATCTGCAGGAGCCACCCGCGAACCCTTTGCGTGTGAAGCCTTGCCACTGGGCGTGGAAACGGGTCTCCCCATGGAGACGCCAAAGTGGGATGAAAGTCCCAAGTTGGTGAATTGATTCCGATGGAAACAGGTTGGCCATAGAGTCATAGAGGGGGGTCCAATGATCGAAGATGCATGAAAACGGCATGAAGACGCATGAAGACACATACGCATGGAGACGCATGGAGACAAACTTATAGTATATATACGAGGACAAACATTTGTTCTATCTACTTTGGGGCGCTGATGGTCGCTGTAACTGCTAGGAACATCCTTGGATAAGATAATTCCCATTTTCACGTGAGCTCATTCATGCAGGATGTTGATCCTGCGGTGTTGTTTCCGAAGTCCCACCCTCAGATGTTGATGTTATCGATGCGACCGGATGCTGCCAACCGGAGGCTGCCAACCGGGCCTTCGAATTCCGAATTGGTGCTAGATGCAACGATCATTTTGGCACAATAGAGTTAGAAATGGTCCCAGTCCCACCATTAGAGTTGTCGTTGTCGGTACATTCTTTAAGCATTTTGGACTTGGATATTTGCAGAAAATCACTGCTTTCATGGAACTGGGCTGCACTATGGGTATGGGAAACAGTTTTCCCTAGTTTCCCTGGTCTTATTTGTTGAGCCTGTACACTCCCAAACTGCAGCAATCTGCAGTTGGACTGTCGGAATATCGTCACATTCACGGATTCGCTGGCTTGGATTTTGAAGAAGCTGTAAGCCCTTGAGAATACAGGTGTCAATTCAATACCAGATTCACTGAGAAAACCTTCACTGGTTTGGGGCTTGGGTGCATATGAGTTTCAATGTTGCGAAACTGCAATTTGTTTTCCTGTGGTCTCCTATTGATTGTCCTGTCGCCAGAGCGTCTCAGCACCTCAATAGCTTTGGCCAACGGTCCCATGTTTGGTCGCAGCAAATGATGTGTGAAACCATGCGAAACCCTTTGAGAATCCTTGAGAAAAGAAATTCTTGGAATGGAGTTCCCGTAAAGACCAAGGTCAGACCGGACCTCTGTCCTCAGGTAAAGAGCATCATCGGGAGTTTTGGTTGCCACCAATGGCCAAGGGCCTCAAGGCGCGACCAGATGCGAAGAGGAAGCGGAAACAGTAACCGGTAACCTCAAAAGCATGGGCTTTTGCCAACATCTCGTGATTTCCAAGGGTCGAAATCGACCGGGTCTCGTCAATGTGTTACGGTTTTACTGGTTTTACCGTTCGGAAGGTGAAAGTTCGGAGTGACCCACCAGTTCACTGAGTTCCGGCTTGAGGTTTGATCTGGTCACATCTGGTCACTAGTCTCTGATAGTCTCAAGCTCCAACTTGAGTAACTCGGCTTTTGTTGGATGATGGCAGTTGCGGGTCCCTTCTGCCGGGACCCTGACTTTTCTTGGCACTCCTCAAGAGACACAAACAGAGATACATGTCCCATCACTTTGGGCCAGACTTTGATGGGTCGGCCTACCCTGACTGCAGTCAGGTGCCCTTGGATGCAGAGGTGAAGGACCAGATGGGTGGGACACGTTTGCAGAATCGGAGGAGAACAAGCCCCGTTACGGTATGCACCTTGAAGCTTCCCGAGTTTCATTTAACTGGATCCAAGAAGATGGGGAGATGACTTCTAAATGACTCAAGTGACATGGTGAAAAACCTTTGGGGTGCTTCCTGGAAGGATCTTTGCACCCAGCGAAGCACCTCTTTGCCCCACGAAGCAGTGGCTTTGAGACCTCCGCCTTCCCAAATCCTTTAGACAGAGTTTGCAGATGTATTCCCGAGGCCTTTGTTCAGCAAGCATTCATTTGACTTTCCCACTGTTAGGGATAGCGGTGCTGTGGGTCGTGTATAGTCCTGTAACGTTCTGTAGCTGAATCCACGACAGACGACTTAGCATTATTTATAGTTTGGCCAAATCCTTTGTACAGCTAACCAGATGACAAACAATAGTTGACATGTGATAGCAGACACATGCGGACACACAGATGTGGAACTTTCCTCGGATGTCAATATAAAGCCTGAATCTTCGACAAGGTTTTGATAAACGTATATATGGGAGTTGATCGAAAACCCCGTGTAAGGAGTTTTATATAAAACAGCCTTTCAGATGTTGTTAGAACCATCCGCGAAAGATTCGCGATGAGGTTCGCGAAAGTATCTTTTTTTTCCGCGAAAGATTTATCGAAGGTCATCGCTTTCATTGTTTTCCTTTCTACCGGACTGACAAAGAATAGAAACGCAAGGCAATCCTCCGGCAGAGCCAGTGGGCGGAAGTGTCCCCATATGTCACAGACTAACGAACTGAAGCCTCAACATTTCCGTGCCGAGCCCTGGCAGTGCGTAAAGGATTCTCCGATTCCTGTCCCCACTGTCACAGGCTAGCAATCTGGGTAGGCACAGCCCTGACAGTGAGGCAACGACCTGCAGCTGCTCTGACGGGCTGCGCAGATGTTTGCAAATGTTACGGCTTCCCGGGGAAAGCACCAGTGAAATTTCGCGAAAGATCCGCGAAAGTTTCGCGAATGTGCCGCTAAAGTCTAGGTTCCCAGCTTGAGGCCCCCCAACATTCCCCAAGCTGTATCACCCTGTGTTGGTAGCTGGCACGAGGATTGGGTTGAGTTGTGCCTGACTCTATTTGGCACAATTGTCGAACAGATGCTGCAAGTGACCCTGAGTAGCTGTGGAAACGTTCAACCATCTACTGGGGTCATGCTGCAAGATGTCTCTCCCTATTTTGTGGTACTATGACATGTTCCGGCTCCTGTTGGCTAGACATGGTTGTAGGACCATGCTTCGCGATGAGGCCGCGAAAGATCCGCGAAAGATATCTTTTTTTCCGCGATGAATGGCCATTCCAGGATGAAAGAATATTGATCAACCACCATATATTATATACCTTGAGAACCTCAACCCTTTAAAAAGAAAGGGTTTGCACACAGACCTCGGGTATGGTGACAAACCATCCCAAGACATCGGGTTTGGCCCGAAAACCTCGGGTTTTCCTAGTACACACATAGATTCCAGGCATTCCACCCCTCGGTGTGCCACGCGCTGCAGCCCAGGCGGTTGAGACCTTTTCCATCAAGCCGGTATGGAATCTGGGCGGGGGCCAGTGAGAATATTAGGATCTATGGTGGTGAAGTAGGATGGCATCAATCATCAAAAGACTTATGTGCAAAATATGTGAGGCTTTCATAGACATGTTGCATGATATCACCACAACTATACTCGCCTCCTAGCAAGGTCCGGCTAGATGGCTCCACAAATAGGACATCAATAGAAATGTCCATGACTATAGTGGGACATACCTTTATACTGTGATGCTCAACCAACCAGCCATGGCCAGCCCCTCGCAATGCCGGCGAGTACAAAAGCCACTGGCCAGCTCAGCCCTCAGTCCTGCAGCCGGCGTTCAGGTCTGGTGGCATCATCAATTATCACATCTCTTTTTTCATCCCCGTTGTAGGGCCCCCAATGGCTTCAATCCCACAACTTTCACACAAACAATCGGTACGTGCATGAACGCATGAACGTGTTCACTATAGCAAATGATTGCGCCATGAAAGCTGAACCCAAGACCTGAAGAGAAGAATCCATTTCCAGGCATAAGCTTTGAAAGGTGGGCACCTGGGATTTACAAATTGCTCTTTACGGCAGGGTTGCATCAACGCAGAAATGCCCCATATGCATTTAGCAGTGCATTTAGCGCATCATGTCACATACAGTATTGCGATTTGCCATTAACACGAAGATGCAAAATACAACCCCTTGATTATCATTTTAATTTGCATACTAGGCACTGAGGACACCTCCCGACGTCGCACTTTCATTTTGACAAACCCCAGAAGCTTCCGCACCCGCCAACAAATAGCCGCAACATCCGGTTGGTCTTCTGGATTGTTTCCACGCTTGCACTTGATGTAGACATTCTCGATCTCAATCCTCAATGCCTCCACGGCAGGAAGTGGCCTGGTTGTGGTCAAACTCATTCGAGTAACCAAGGGCTGCAGCACCGCCAAATTGGCAACACATGTTGGGATGTCTTCTCCGCCCTTGTCTTTGTCCAACAAGTCTTTGCCATCCAGCAGCCTATCCCGAAGTTCTTCGCTCGAGTTCCAATCCAAGTAGAGGTTTTGGATGTCCAAGACTTCATTCGAAGCCAGCTTTGGGCGACCAGCTGGCTTCTTTTTGGATGTCTCGGGGTCAGCCATGGGGATACAGACCAAACCTGAGGACCCTTGAGCACACAAATGGCGCTGGAATGTCAAGCTTTGAGTCATGACCCAATTCCATAATCCACAGAATGCTGGCATTCAGCGATCATATATGATACGATGGCAGTGTGTCATTAATTTTCAAGTTGTTGGCTACCCTACGCATTGGCAGGAAACGATCGATGAGGTGAACCGCAAGATCGCCGAGCGCAAAGCCCTCAAATCCAGTGGCGGTCCATGTTCCGAGTCAGAGGAGCCACTCCATTCCAGCTACAACACTGCACTGCACCCCAACCATAAATTTAAGTTGCCAAAGAGCCCATGTATTTTTGTCACACAGCCGCACTGTGCCTTTCCAGGAGTCCAGTGGACACGGGAATGGCTCTGAGTCCGAGGAGGAAGAGTCAGAGGGTGAGGTAGAAACGGAGGTGCCTGCTGAACCCACAGATCCTTCAAGTGGTCATGTTCCACCACCAGTCAAAGTAGAGGAAACGCAAACAACTGCAAAGAAGGAGGTTGAGACTTCTGAGCGGGAAAAAACGTTTATGAAGGAGAAGGCAACGACTACTACTCCACAGGCAAAGGATGGAATGAAGGAGGATTCCCAGGCTACTTTTCTGTACGAGGTCCCCCTAAATCCAGTGGAGGGCCCTGCCGAGCAAATTGTGGAGGAAGTGGATAAAAAGGAGGATGGAACCACCCAGGAAGAGGTCCAACCACCCGCAGCGGACATCAAACCCAAATCGGAAGTTGCACTAGTTTGCAAGCCTTCTGAACAGAGCGGCATCTTTGTTTGCAAGTAGTCGACAACTGAATTGGATAAGATTGATCCTTTTTTATGAGGTTTGAACATTGACATTGACCACTATAGAGACTAAATCCATTTCAAGGTATTGCGATGGACGAGCTCCTAAAGAAAAAGAGGAGATCAGGGAAAGGTTGGCAAGGTGTTTTGGCCAGCACGTTGAAAGGATTGATCGACAGTGCGGTATTCAAAAGAAAACAGTTTCACCTCTCCATACAGAACGAATCGATCCGTGTTCCCAACAAAACCCGATCGAGAATTGCGCTTGAGGTTGCGTTCATGTCGTTCATCTTCGAGCGGTGGTGGGTTCGCGGCGGCGACATCAAGTTCTGCTGCACCAGGTTCAGCAGGAGACGTGTATATGCATGGTCTGGTCGTTGTTTGCGCATTAATGCGAAGTTCGATCCAAGGATTTGGAGTGAATTGGCTATACCGTTTTCATTTCACCACACCACATCCATGGATTTGTGACCCCCTTTTGCCGGAGGATTGATAGCGCCAGACCAGGCTGAGACGCAAGTTCAGGAACTCGTGACTTCACTTACACCACCCAAAGAACCAGAGTGCAGCTTCATTTCTCCAGACCATTCAGCAGAAGCCAAAAGACAAACCTTCCAGTCCAAAGGAAACGCCCAAGGTCGAGACCAGATTGAGGAGACCGATGAACCTACGAAAGGTCGAGAAGAGAAAACAGATCCTAAAGAAGGGAAGTTGAAGGAAACAAAAGTCGAAACACCGGAGCCAACATTCACAGAGAGTGACCAAGAGGCCAGGGGATTGTAACCTATATAAAGGGTTGATCCTTTTGATGTCTTCAAAGGTTTCGCATATTGGATCTCAGTCGACCAGCATACAGCATACCGTTCTCTGTTCATGTTGGGCAAAGTCTTCTGCATGCGCTCACTCAAATCTTTTTGCGACAGGAACATCCTCCAAAAGCTGAGACGACGCGAGCAGATCAACTCAAGATGAAACGTAAGAAAGCAGAGTCTGAGGAGGAACAGGAACAGCCGACAAGAGGCAGAGGTCGCGGTAGGGGCCGTGGCAGAGGAAGGGGGAGAGGTGAAAAAGATGGGGAGAAGAAAACCAACCGAAAGAAAGACCTAGAGCAGAGTGAAAACCATGAACAGCATGAGCCGCAAGAGCCCAAGAAGCGATCGAACAAAAAGCAGCAAGAGTGGACAGATCAGGAATGGGCTGAATGGCAATCATGGGAGGCTGAAATCCAAGCTTGGAAGCAGCAAAGCTGGGCATACGATGAGGAGTGGAGTTTGTGGGGTGGCAAAGCAGACCAGAATCAGAAGCGTAGCAAAGAGTCGCGCAAGCAGCAGTCAACGGGAACCAGCGCGCCAGACCAAACAAAGAAACGTGCAAAGAGAGCTAGTGGGGATTCGAAGGGCGAGGACGAATCGAAACATGCCGATAAGCGCGGCAAAACAAAGAAGAGGCCCGAGGACAAAGACATGGACGCTCGAAAAGAAACGAAGGAAG